CAGAACTTTCAGTTCCACAATATTCTCTGGGGTAAAAACTGAAATCTAAATGACCACCAAAATGACTGTTCCCAACAAAACTGTCTCTAGATCCTATCATTTTTCCTATAGAAATTATTTTAAAATATACGAAATGAAAAGCATTGCCTGTACTCAAACAGACGTCGTTAAAATGAACTTAGCCAGCCACCATTCATTTGGATCACAAACGGGAGGAGTTTACAATCAGATGTGGCAATATTTTGTTCTTTACCGGCAGCATAGCAGCAGGACGGACCCAGAGAAATGTGGGTTACTGTTCATCAGACTTGACATCAGATGACTTTGCTGAAGGCTGCAGCTTTGCCTGCGCGTCGTGCAGCTGTGGGATTATGCTGTGAAAGAAAGCGCCTATTGTAGCCACTGCAGGAAGGAAATAAAAATGTCATCCATTAGCAGCTAATGCAACAGTTGAATCGCTGTGGCTTTTAGAAAACTGAAATTATTTGCTGGGCTGTGGGTCTGCTCAATATTCTTGTAGAAACAAACAAATGTTTAACTGACATTTTACTAGCTAGAGATTGATGGGCAGTGTTTGCCCCCATTTCAAAAACATAGATTTGCTTTCTGGTGCCTGGTTTCTTTCCCCATGAAATGAGAATGTTACTGATGAGCTGTCAAATTAGCTGGCACATAATAGGCATGAAGTAAATATTTGTTGAATGAATAAATTAAGAATAGCCATTATTTACTAAGTCCAAACCAGCTGTGTTAGCATTCTCATTCTCATTGTACATGTGGGGAAGTTACCACAGTGGGATTTAGAGTTTGGGCTGTGTTCTACAGTATTACCGCCTCCCCCCCTTCTCCTAGGGACATTATGGTAAATACCAAAATTAAAAACACACATATTTGTAGAAAAATACACAAGAGCATGGAATTAAAAAGGCAAACTCAAGAGTCATCTTGGCTCCAATACGTATTTGCTGGGTGAGCTTGAATAGTCTTGCTGTAATCCACTGGGCCTCAGTTTTCCTTATTTATAAAATACTAGAGGCCCGGTGCACAAAAATTTGTGCACCCGGGGGAAGGGGGGGTCCTCTCGCAGTCTGGGACCCCTCGGGAGAAAACGACCTGCTGGTTTAGGCCTACTCCCGGGTGGCAGAGGGCAGGCCCAATCCCTAGGTGAAGCCCCTGGTCGGGTCAGAGGAGGGCCGATTGGGGAGTTGGGGTGCTGCCCCTGTCATGCACAGAGCAGTGCGGATAGGGAGGTTGTGTCCCCACCCCCTGTCACACACAGAGCCGCAGGGTGATCAGGGGGTTTGGGCGCTGCTCCCTGTCACGCTGATCCCGGTGCTGGGAGGCATATTACTCTTTTACTATATAGAATAGAGGCCTGGTGCATGGGTGGGGCTGGCTGGTTTGCCCTGAAGGGTGTCTTGGATCAGGGTGGGGGTCCCCACTGGGGTGCCTGGCCAGCCTGGGTGACGGGATGACGGCTGTTTGCAGCTGGTCACACACCCTTCAGGGTGGGGGTCCCCACTGGGGTGCCTGTCCAGTCTGGTGAGGGGCTGAGGGCTGTTTTCAGGCTGGGGGTGACTGAAGCTCCCAACCGCTCCTGTTTTTCTTTTTCTTTTTCTTTTTTATTCTGGGCCAGCTTTAGCTTTGAGGATTGGCTCCAGCTCTTAGGCCTCTGCTGCTGAAAGTAGGTTTCTGGCCTTTGCTTACAATGTTGCAAATCCGCTGGATGAAGTCTGGCCATATTTGTTAAAATGTTACAAACTGCAGGCTCAGAGGCCTGCAGCCGCAGGCAGGGAACGTTGGTTTCCTCTGTCACTGAGGCAAGCAAGCCTCATGTTAGCTTCAAGCTGCCTGGCTGCCGGCCACCATCTTGGCTGTCAGTTAATTTGCATATCTCACTGATTAGCCAATCGGAAGGGTAGCAGTCGTCTGCCAATTACCATGTTTCTCTTTTATTAGTGCTGGCTGAAGCCTGGCTGAGTAAAACAGGTTTCTGGGTTTTTTTTAGTTTCTATATTTGCAACATAGTTACTTAGAGTTGCACCTGAGAGGCCAGCAAGTCAGGCAGGGAACGTTGGAGTCCTCCCTCACTGAAGCAAGCAAGCCTCCCCATTCGCATCAGCTGCCTGGCTGCCGGCCGCCATCTTGGCTGCCAGTTAATTTGCATATCTCACTGATTAGCCAATGGGAAGGGTAGCGGTCGTACACCAATTACCATGTTTCTCTTTTATTAGTGTAGATGACTCATAATAAGATCTAACTCATAACCTTGTTATGAGAGCTAAACTAGATAATCCAAGTGATGTGTCTAGTAAAGTGCCTGATACATAACAAGCCCAGCATTAATATCAGCTATTCATACTCCTTGGGCTTTCCATAGCAACTTTGCTGAGTTGCCAATAGACTGGTTTGTTTCGTTTTGGGTAGCCAACAGCAAGGCAGCCTCCTTTGTTATTTATAAAAAAACACAGACGTTTCCAAAAACATGGCTGAGATGCAGTCAGCTGGCAAGGCAACCCCAGGTCTTCCTCTCCTCCCCGATTCCTGCTCCGACTCCTTGTGTACCTGCAAGGTCACTGCTGCATATTTTACTTCCACCAAAAAAAAAAAAAAGACAAAATACTTTCTCTTAGTTCCCACAACAATTGAGTCAAATTCATATTTTTAAAAGGAACTTTACTAAATCTAAGAGAAAACAAAAAATAGTTCAAATACAGATGTACATGCGTGCACGCGCGCGTGCATGTGTGTGTGTGTGTGTGTGTGTGTGTGTTGTTAACTTTTCTCTAAGCTAATATCTTTGGGTTTATTAACTCATTTCCCTAATATGCTCTGCGCCCTCTTCTTGTAATTTTTATTTGTTTTACACTTTGCATTGCGTATGTATTTTTGTACGGCATTTTAAATACTTATTGGGGACAAAAGGGACCAGGTATAAAACAAGATAGATGATGATGATAGATGATAGATTATAGATAGATAGATAGATAGATAGATAGATAGATAGATAGATAAACTTTTCAGCATTATTGAAACTCAATTAACTACCTCTGGACCAAAAAGATGACACCTTCCCCCTCCCAGCATCCTTACTCCACTGGTTGGACACAATCTTTCTTCCTATCATACAAGAGGCCATGAATGGCCTATCTTGCTCTCTTCTCTTCACTACCAGTTCCCAGGACTATAAAGATTGTAGAGACTGATGTAATCAAAGCTTTTACCCTTCCTGGCTCAAATTAGCAGCTCTGTCTGCTTTTAGAGCACTTTGTAATTAAACTGAACCACTAAAAAGGTATAACCCATCACAGACTCATAGCACCATGATATCTTGATATTATCGTCACATAAGACATTTCTGCTCGTCAATCCCAGAAGACAGTTATGTCTTCAACAAGAGACTTGTGGATGATACCATATTCATCTCTTATATCCACCAGCTATGCATCATAAAAGGCATTCAAAGGCATTTAGGAAGTACTTGTTAAATTGAGTTGAACTGAACTGAAAACACGTATGCCCTTTTCTCATGTATTAGATTTTGAGTGACAGAATTTAACAGCTAAATTGACATAATTGGATCTTGCACCTGTTCCAGTCATTGCTTTATTAGAAATCTATTTATATAGAGAGAGATTATTAATTTATTTAGCATTGAAGAGCTGAAATGTATAATGATGAATTAAACAAATTGTCATATTGATTTTTATAGGGATTCAAGGATATTTCTCTTGAGAGGTTTATACATGGTGGAGCCAATGTTACAGGATTCCAGTTGGTGGATTTTAATACACCTATGGTAACCAAACTAATGGATCGCTGGAAGAAACTAGACCAGAGAGAGTATCCAGGATCTGAGACTCCTCCAAAGGTATTTGTTCGTTTTTATCTTATGTATGTTTAGTATTTTTCAAATTTAACATAGAAAGTTCATGATGCAGTTTTTCTGGTACTATGTCATCAAACATAGTGTGATGGGCAGAAGCATTTAGTCAGTCTCACTGTGCTGCACAAGCTCTTAATTTCTAAATATCTATATTTAAGAGTAGAAGTGGTAGGTATTAGCTCAAGCAGTTTCCCGTTATTATTATTACTTTATAAATTTCCATTGAAGATAAGGAATGCTTTTTTATTTTAATCCTCACCCAAGGATATGCTTTTCATTGATTCTAGAAAAGGAGGAAAGGGGCGAGGGACAGAGAAAGAGAAACATTGATGTGAGAGAGAAACATCAATTGGTTGCCTTACACACATGTCCTGACCAGGGATCAAACTGCAACCTGGGTATGTGCCCTGACTAGGAATTGAACCCACAACCCATCAGTGCACCAGATGATGCTCTAATCACTGAGTACACCAGCCAGGGGAATTGTATGCTCCAAACAAATTTGTTAACTAAATATTTCAAATTTGAACAACATTGGTAACTATCCACCCAGGAAAAAAATCTATGTATTCAAAGTGATTTAAATTAGTATATACATTAGGAAATTGGTAGGATGTAAAATATGCAAGCTTCTAAAATTTTTTTCTTTCAAATAAATAGTAAAAGGCCTTGGTTGTTTAATTTTTTCCTATAGACATTGCAGAAGTGTTATTCATATCTGCAAAGGAAGCTGGTAAATTTCTGATTATAGCACATTTTTTCCTTTTTCTTTTTCAAAAAAGAACAGAGGTTCAGATAGATAGATAGATAGATAGATAGATAGATAGATAGATAGATAGATATAATTTTAGAAAGAAAAGGAGAAGGAGAGAGAGATAGAAACATCAATGATGGGAGAGAATCATTGGTTGTCTGCCTCCTGCATGTTCCCTACTGGGGATGGAGCTCACAACCCGGGCATATGCCCTTGACTGGAATGGAACCCGGGACCCTTCAGTCTTCAGGCAGCTGATCAATGATTCTCTCTCATCATTGATGTTTCTACCTCTCTCTCCCTTCCTCTCTGAAATCAATAAAAAATATATATATTTTTAAAAAGAAACCTTGCGAATCCTTTTATTATCTCTATTGCCTTTAGTAGGTTCATAGATGAATCACGCCAAAAGCTCAGTCGTGTCAAGTATTCATACACACAGAGAAGAGTGACACGCTTCCTTCTGAGCACATTTCTAATCTAGACCGTTCGCTAGGCAGCAGTCCTCCTCATTCTCCCCTTAGTGTCTGCAGAGACACTCTTCCTCATGAGACAACCTTCTCTCTTCCTTCCTCACACCTTGTGTTGTGACACCATTCATTGCGTTCGCATTTCTTCTGCAAACCATCTGTTCAAGTTTTTGTTGCCCTTTGAGTTTTAGTAGCTAGAATGAGCTTCAAGCTTCCTGTCAGCATTTTGTAGCTTCTTGGGACTATTTTTCATTTCAGCGATAGTATTAACATGTGGCCAAAACGTCCACTGTGGTCCCCCGACCTGGATCGCTGGTGTCCTTAGCCCTTCCCTGCCTTTAGCCCATCTGAATGTCTTCTATTTGCTAACCTGTAACTGGACTTATCTATGCTACAGCTTTGGCATATAAAATGCACATAGTGTCATATGTACTTTTATATGTAAATACATATAATTTTCTCATCTTTCACAGCTCTTAGCATGGTGCTAGGCACTCGGTGGCCATTTAATAAATACAGAGATAGGCAAAAGTAGGCTCACAGTTATACATAGGAAAAATACAACAATTAATAAGTGCTAATACAATAATAAAGTGTTTCATAGACTAACAACTGTAAACCTACTTTTTCCAACCCCCATATATACAGGTGATTCTCATTATTCACAGTAGTTACATTCTGTAAAGTTGCTGTGAACACTGAATGTGAACACTGGACACTAGTTCCCAGGGGAAATACAAGATTAGGTTCCTGCAAGCCTCCGGTCACAGATTTTTGTCCACTGATCAACACATAGCACACGTGTTTCTGTTTACAGACAGTTTATACAATACACTAGAGCAGTGATGGCGAACCTATGACATGCGTGTCAGAGGTGACACGTGAACTCATTTTTTTGGTTGATTTTTCTTTGTTAAATGGTATTTAAATATATAAAATAAATATCAAAAATATAAATCTTTGTTTTACTATGGTTGCAAATATCAAAAAATTTCTATATGTGACACGGCACCAGAGTTAAGTTAGGGTTTTTCAAAATGCTGACACGCCGACCTCCAAAGCTTCACCATCACTGCACTAGAGGCCCAGAGAACCGATTTGTGCACCTGTGAACCCTCAGCCTTGCCTGTGGGATTGGGCCGACACTGGCTCTTTGATATACCCTGAGGGGCCCGGATTGCAAGAGGGCACAGGCCAGGCCAAGGAACCCCAGTGGTGCACGATCAGGGCCAGGGAGGGACCACAGGAGGGCTCCAGGGAGTGTCTGGCCCATCTCGCTCAGTCTGCTGGACCCCAGCAGCAACCTAACCTATAGGTCAGAGGGTCTTCCCCCTGGTGGTCAGTGCACATCATAGTGACTGGTCAAATGAATGGTTGGACACTTAGCATATTAGGCTTTTATTAAATAGGACTAGAGGCCCGATGCATGAAGATTAGTGCAAGAATAGGCCTTCCTTCCCCTGGCTGCCAGCACTGGTTTCACTGTGGTACCAGGGACCCGGGCCTTCACTCTGGCTGCCACCTTCCACCTTCGCTCCAGCCCTGCCATCCTCCTGGAGCTCCCTCCACCCCCCGTACTCCCCTCTTAGCAGGCGTCCCACCCCACCCCGGCAGCTCCACACCTGCGCGTGCATGTGCTGCCCAGAGGCCTGGAGTGGCTGGGGCAGGGCGGAATGCCTGTGTCATTGCCATGGTGATGATGTAAGTGTCCTGGCCCGGGTGCTGCCATCTTTGTAGCATCAATTTGCATATTCCCTCCTTACTGGCTGTGGGCTCTGCCATCTTTGTCGTGAAGTGATGGTTAATTTGCATGTTCTGTCTTTATTAGATAGGATTGTTGATTCATGAACAGTGAAGTCATGGCCAACAGCACTATGACTCATGCCTGAACAAAGCCTACCTCATGTATTTTCTCCATCAAGCACACCACAGCCTTCTTGCACTGAGGAACACTAAGCAGATCTACACTTTTGAGCCCTTTTAAACAGTGAAATTATCAGCAAAAAGCACACAACCGTGAGAAACCTGGCACTAAACAGATCACATGGGGACACTTGTCTACACCCTGAGAGCTGAAACAGGAAGATAGAGCGCGGCCTAGTGGCTGCAGCTGCGAATCTGTGCCTTGGGGAACTGAGGTTAGCACCACACCACACACATATGCAAATAACTGCCCTGATGATTGATTTGGGGATCACAAATTTGACCAAGAAGGCAAATTTTCAAATATGGAATCCATGAATAATGAGGATTACATTAATTAAATTATACTTGATTTTTTGGGGGGTAGTGTTTTAACCAAGATTTAAAGCATGATTTCTGATCTTGTCTCACTCTGCCTTAAAAAAAAAATATTCTGGCCCTAGCCAGTTTGGCTCAGTGGATAGAGTGTCTGCCTGCAGATTAAAGTGGTTGTAGGTTTGATTCTGGTCACATACTTGGGTTGTGGGTTTGATCCCCAGTAGGGCTGTACAGGAGGCAGCTGATCAATGGTGCTACTCTCATCAATGTTTCTATCTCTCTATCCCTCTCCCTTCCTCTCTCTCTCCTGAAATTAATAAAATAAAAATATATAGTTAAGAATATTTAAAAACATTTAAAAAATAAAAATATCTTCTGGAATAAAGGTTTTCCACAATGCAGCCCTAACAAGTCTTTCCAGTTTTGTCCGTCTGCTCCCTTTGTGGCCAGGAAAATTAAACAGTCCTAACTGTTCCCACTCCTCAGTCCCCTGCTCTTGCTGCACCTCAGCTGCACTCCACCTTCATTTCCACTGTCCCAGCCTTGAACTCAAGTTCATTTTCTCTGTAAAGACTTTTCTTAGTCCTCCAGTACATATGATACTTTCTCCTTTGTAATGGCCATAATCTTTGAGTGTACACTTTTCACCCAGGACTTATCACAGTTACTAGTCTACTTGTGTCACATCTATAAACACCTTTGGGCAGAAACCACCTCCTATGTGTCTTTGTAGTCCTCACCATTGCCGGCCAAGGTCTAGCACATTTTTCAAGAGCTCTCAGATAGAATATAAAATTTTATTCTCACAATGACCACGGGTTTGTTTTGGATGCTTGTTTGTTTGTTTGTTTGTTTGTTTTGCTCTGTTTTGTGTTTCATAGCTGGAAAATGTACTCCACATTCCCATAAGATTGCGCATAGCAGAACAAGAATTTATCTAGTTCTTTCTTCTCAAAGCCCAGACCCTTGCCACTGCCGTAAGATTCTGCCAAACTGTTTTGTTGTCTGCAAACCTGGGTAAATAGTACTCATCACCAATCTAACCACTTTGGTAAACTGAAGTGTTTAATTAATAAGAATTTCCTGGATGCCATCTACCAGTGTGTGTGCCCATATATATGATTTTTTTAACATTAGCACAATAAGACATGTGGGAAAGAATTAAATCCTTGGCAAAGGTAAAGCTGATTTAAACTGCTGCTTCTTCCATCCATCAGCACAGCGACCTGCCAAAGGCCCAACGCTATGGCTGACTGTCTGCTTTGCTCTGCTCCTCTCTGTATGACATCTTCCCTTCTTTACAGTTCACTTGTTTCATAAGAATGGAGGGGCTTCGTAAAACGCAGCAAGTGTATTTGCTCTTTGGTGCCATCTCTTCTCAGCTTTTTCTCCCTATTAAAGAAAAGCAACAACTCTCTCTCTCTCTCTCTCTCTCTCTCTCTCTCTCTCTCTCTCTCTCTCTCTCTCTCTCTCTCTCTCTCTCTCTCTCTCTCTCTCTCTCTCTCTCTCTCTCTCTCTCTCTCTCTCTCTCTCTCTCTCTCTCTCTCTCTCTCTCTCTCTCTCTCTCTCTCTCTCTCTCTCTCTCTCTCTCTCTCTCTCTCTCTCCTTAATATTCTAACATTAAATTATTCCTTGTCTTTTGTTTTTAAAAGTCCTACTTTATTTTTTGTTTTTATTTTCTTGCCTTACCAAAAGATGATTTGAAGGATTTCTGTACTCAAAGAGATGTTGGCCTAGGCAGGAAGAGAGAGAGAGAGAAAGAGAGAGAGAGAGAGAGAGAGAGAGAGAGAGAGAGAGAGAGACTTCTTGTTCGAGGTGAGAAGGTATATACTCTTCTTTAATTTGTCACCTTGCTTTAACACTTACATTTCCTTCAGCAACTCCAACCTGTTGTGAGTGCCTGTGCTGTCCTTAAGCCTATTTTGTCACATCCTTGAAGAATATGTAGCAAGGCTCTTAATTTACAAGCCTCACACATATCTTTCTGATAAAGCTTTTTAATGAGGTTCTGTACCACCGTTGAGAGATTCTTTGTTAATTTATATCCTTTAACATTTCTATGTTTTTCCTAGAATTCTGGCTGCTATGCCTAGTAGGCATATTGCATAAGTCTATTTTCTACAGTTAGAATTTCAAATAATTTTTCTTTGTTTATAAGCAGCAAATCAGGGAGATCATCTTCTGTGTTCCACAGCTCAAAACTACACCTAGTTTAAGGTCAGAATGTGTTAATCATATGGAATTGAGGCCCTGGCTGTGTAGCTCAATTGGTTGGAGTACTGTCCTCATGCACCAAGGTTGTAGGTTCGGTCCCCAGTCAGCAAGGCACATGTGAGACTCAACTAGTAAATGCATAGATAAGTTGAACAACAAATTGATGTTTCTCTCTCTCTCTCTCTCTCTCTCTCTCTCTCTCTCCCTCCCTCCCTCCCTCAAAATCAATAAAAAATTTGAACATATAGAATTGACCACGTGGAATTCCTGAAAGAGATAATGTAGCTTTTTGTCATGATTGGCAGCTGATGCTCTGCCATGCTTCAAAAAAAATAGTGCCATATTCCTCATGGTTGGGAACTTTCTTATCAAACTCTACAAGAATTCCGTTTTATTTTGATTTTTACCTGTTTTTCCTCACTTTCTCTCCTAACCTTAATAACCCTTCCATGAGGGCTCTGTCTTTTCTCAAAGAGAAGCATTGGGTGATTATCAAAAAACAGTCTCTACTTCACTTCTCCACTGTGATCCAAGGTTATGATGGAAAACTGGAGAAATGGCTAGCCTTCCTGAGCACACTCAACAGACATGGACATAATAATACTCACTGTTATTTAGCACAGTGACTGGTGCAAACACATCTGTTAAATAAGTAGGTGTTATTTCTGGCATCCAATATCCTAGTTACAATAAACATTCATTCTTCTGAGGAACTGAACAAAGATACACACTTCAGATCAATAGACATGTATTAAATCGCAAAGCTCCCAGCCAGGCATTCTGGAAATGAGTGCGATACCCAGCCCTCCGGGGGCTCCACCACAACAGCAGGCTGCAAGGCAGGTGGCGGCAACACTGCTCTCAGCTTTACACCCTTCAGTGTTTCTGCTGAAACTTGATGAAAAGATCTCACCTAAAGGTTTTGCTTCTTCCTTCTTCCCATTGTTAGACAACTGGACATTAGAATTTCTGCTCTTCAGTCTGTGTTTTCTCCTTTTTCAATTAGAGTCATAAGATTGGGTATTTGGTCTTTGTAATCCAGCAATAATAGAAATCTCGATGCTGGAGCAATTATCAATAACTTAACTGTGCTTCAGACAGGATGAGGTTTTATGTCTTAAACCCACAGCGCTGCCAGACTATTCCTGTTGGTTGATAAGATTTTAACATTTACCCTCATAATTACTTTCATTTCATTAGTACACATCCGCTCTGACTTATGATGGAGTCCTGGTGATGGCCGAAACTTTCCGAAGTCTTAGAAGGCAGAAAATTGATATTTCAAGGAGAGGAAATGCTGGGGATTGTCTGGCAAATCCTGCTGCTCCATGGGGCCAGGGAATTGACATGGAGAGGACACTCAAACAGGTAACTCGCAATTTTATTTAAGTTCAATTTATTTAACACTGCTGTTCGAGTAGAGTATTCACATAAACAGAATAATGTATTTGAAAGTAAATATATGTAAAAGTCATTTTAATATATTGGACTATTATCATTTTTGAGACATTTCTAAATAGAATACTGTGTTTATATCCTGTGTAGATGCTTAGTCAGGATAAGCTAGGTTATGCTGTACTAACAAACAATCCCAAGTTCCAGTGGTTTACAACCATAGAAGAGTGTTTCTCACTCACAAACACACTAGGGTAGCAGGGACACTCTGCTTATTGTAATCACTCAGCAACCCAGCCTGACAGAGCAACTACCATCTTGAATGTTACAAAGAGAAATAAAGTTGAGGCAAGGTTTCAATTTGACAATTAAACTCTGGCCCAGTAGTGACCCTCATCACATTTGTTTACAACTCATTTGTCAGAAGAGAGTCACATAGGCCTCACTCACCACCAGGGATTCAGGAAGTATGAGCTTACCTTGAGCCAAGAATGGGGAAGACCCAGAAATATTTGGAAAACACTAATGACAACCTCAGTAGATCTTGAAATTGCCTTGTAACCTTGGATTAAACTATTGATTTTAGACTTTTATAGTTATACTAACACTATTTTTCAAATGTTTAATGTACTATGTTTATTATTACATGTTAATATTACGTTTTAAGTGTTCTGAAATGCCATGTGTTCAGAACATGTTACATAAAAAATGAATAGGGCCCTAACCAGTTTGGCTCAGTGGATAGAGCATCGGCCTGCGGACTGAAAGGTCCCAGGTTCGATTCCGGTCAAGGGCATGTACCTTGGTTGCGGGCACATCCCCAGTAGGGAGTGTGCAGGAGGCAGCTGGTCGGTGTTTCTCTCTCATCGATGTTTCTAACTCTCTATCCCTCTCCCTTCCTCTCTATAAAAAAAAAAAAATGAATAGGAAGGAAATTTGGAATAAAACGCAAGTGAATATTTTCAAAATATATGTATTTTTTTAATTTTTTACATCTTAATTTTAATGTTAGCAAGGAGAAATATGATCCGATGTGGTTATCAGGGCTGTTTATTATGTGCATCTATAGAAAAAAACTGAAAAGTAAATATAAACAAACCATATTTCTGTTCCTATAAACAATACTTCAATTCTAAGGAGTATTCTGTCAGTTACAATGGAAACTTCATAATATAAAAAACAAATTACACATATTCATCTTCCAGCTATACAGTAGAATTGTTTATTTGTTCCTTTGGTATTTCTCTTTCAGATTCTATCCCATGGTGTGCTAATGAGTTCGTGTCGTCCCACACCTATATCTGCTCTAAGCCTAACAGATGAAGTTGAGATTTCTATAGGTGAAATGGCAAATAAACACATGTTTGGGTTTGTTTTTGTTGTTTTATTTTTCATCTATAGGTTCGAATTCAAGGGCTGACAGGGAATGTGCAGTTTGACCACTACGGACGCAGGGTCAATTACACAATGGATGTGTTTGAGTTAAAGAGCACAGGGCCGAGAAAGGTGAGCCACGCTCAAACTGTTGTCTGACTTTGCATTTGATATTTTTAAAGGCTTATTGGCGAAAGGGAACTGGATAGTCTGCATTTTTAAATATGTGTACTTACAAATAGCACTGTCTTGATAATCTGTGCTGAAATATAACTGCTATTTAGTCATGTGCCAAAGCCAAAACAAACTAATCTATACACCTTTATATCCTTCATCCAAAATGAAAGCAAAGCAATATATTTTTTAAAGCTTAGCAAAAAGAATCCCACACAACAAAATTCATGCTGCTGAAAAGCATACAATGCAGGTAAGATACCCGCATGTAATCATTTATAAGAGACAACGAAGAAACTGTTTCTAATGGGTGGGCACACTTTGAATAGGCTGATGTTCTTGAAGTTAACACATGCAAGTGAGCAAAGGAGGGAGCAGATGGAAGATAAGATAGATAAGATTAGTGTCAGGCTGAGGAGGGAGGGAAATACCTAAGAAACTCCCACTGAGGGGCCAGGGAGGTAGTTCGGGAAGCTGTGGTAACTCTGGGGGTGTAATGTGACGGGGCATGTGGGCAGTCTCCCCAGCATCCGGAAAATATACAGTGAAGCAATACTGTCCCACCACAGTAATTGGCTACGTACATTTTATTCACTTATAATTAAATGATTTTTAACATTTTGTTTCTCTAGGATCAGCTAGGGTGCTCAAAGAAAGAGAACATTCAAGTTATTTATCTAAAAACTTCATTTGTTTCCTCGCTTGGCTGTTTCAGAAACAACCTTTCCCAAATATGCTCTCCTGCTTTACTAGAATAATTATAGCTACACTTGATGAAAAGCCTGCTGTGTTCCAAGCATGGGACTTGGTGTAACTTAATCCTAACAGCAAACTAAACATTAGTACTATCTCCCTTTTTCCAATGAGAAAAATCTTTGGTCCAATAGAGCATGGTAACTTTTGCAAGGCCTGTTATTAAGGAAACAAAGACTTTAATTCAGATATGTCTGGCTCCAGTAATGTTTTATACGATTAGCTCACCTGAGTAGACCCTGCTGTAAGGGAATGTATTTTCTAGAAGGATAGAATACAGTAAGTTCCATATGACAGTTAAAGAGTAGGCATGTGGCAGTTCCAAGGAGGAAAAGGTCAATTCCAGCTGGAGAAAAGCAAGTCAAGCAAGAAAGGCTGCGTGGAGGAGGTGGGGTGAAGCATTGTCCTGAAGTTAGAGTTGGAAGTGGAAGAGGCAAGAACCTGCAGACAAGTGGCAGGAAGGACAATTAACAGCTTGAAATGGCAAAGGTTTTCTGAGTTGTGTTTTGCTGCAGTTCTTCATAGCGTGTGCTTCTGCATACTTGTGAGGAGAGATTTGGAGCTGCGTGAGAACCATCACCATCTAGCATTTCAGCCTCTTGTGGCGTCTCCTGGAGCACAGGCTGACAGCTAATCCAGAGCAGGCCGGAGCCTACCTGCTCCAGGTCAGGCAGGCAGGAGATGGACAACCGCTGGGAAGCCAGCACATGGCAGGCTCCTCTAAGGACCTGCCACAGCAAGGGACGGAGATGCATTCCTAATGAGACATTTAGGGGTTCCATGTGAACCCCGACTCGACCTCTGTCAGCCCACAGCCAACAACCAGCAAGAAAGAGGCCCATGGTAAGCAAAGGCCCTCGGCGAGCCGGGGAGCAGACAGCACCCTCTTCGGGCCCCTAGAAACACCGGCTCACAGGGGGCAGAGGCAGACACAGGCACAGGCACACCTCCCTGCCACCACCGGGTCTTACAAATGAGCCCTGAGCAGGAGCTGTCTAACATGCAAAAGACAGCTCCGCCTTCCACAAGACATGAAGTGCAAACGTGAAATGATCTCTCCACGAAAGAAAGAACAATGGGGAAAAAGAAGCTGACAGTAACCAGTGGCAATATCCGGTGGACTGTGTCTAGAACCGGATCTTTTCATGGCCTCGTGGGCCACAATGGTAACAAAATAAAGTTTTTTGAGGAGAAAGCTTAAAGAGTAAGGTGGGAGAGTGAGGAACACTCAGCTGACATTCGTCTCAGACGCTTCCATGAAATATGAAGTATAAAATGGTGTGGCCTCAGCTATGTTTGGCTGTGGCAACGATCCACTTGGGCATTCTGCCAGGAACATTCAACTGAAAAAGTTGCTGCGTGAGGAGCACGGTGCTGCCGGGACCCAGCAGGACGTCTGGGAAGCGAGCAATTGTCCCTGTGGATGGGACACCTACCGCTGAGGGAGCTGCCTTGGGAAACAGATCAAGAGCTTGCCCACCCGTTGGTCTGACTTCTGCAACAGAAAGAGCCACAGTGCTCTTCCTGACGTCCCAGGTCCTAAGTATGGTGGACTCTTCCTGTCAGCTGGTGACCCCCCACTGCCCCAGAAAATGCTCCAGGGCCAGGCTTTCGCGTGATGTCAGGACTTCATAATCAGAGAGATTACATTTATTGAAAGACACAGTAATGGAAAATTGATGTGCATTTTTATATGTCATCCTCCCAACAACCAGAAAGTAGGATTTATTTTTCTCATTTTATGGAAAAGAAAGTCAGGCTCAGAGAAGCTAAGTTACCTGCCCAGGATGTTCAGCTGGAAAGGGATGGAGCGGCAGTGGAGACCAAGCCTTATCCAGCCCCAGGGCTCAGCTCCTCGCTGCTGAGATCTGAGTCCGAGGGTCCATTAAGGCTCTTTCGAGCTGGGATTGACAAGTGTGAGCAAATCAGCTCTTGAAGGAGCCAGTGTGGAGTGGAACAGGGGCTCCTCACAGGGCCTCAGTCCCTACGCAACCCCTTTCTGGTAGGCAAAGTCCACTGTAAATACGGAGATTTTACAAGAGTAAACACATTATCTTATGACTAGAGGCCTGGTGCACAGATTCGTGCACATTGGAAGGAAATTAATTAGAAGGTGGCCAGTGGGGTGGGACTGGGTGAGATGGCTGGGACACGCCCTGGAGCCAGCCTCCCGTGTCCCTCCCTGGCCTGCTGCACCTGGGGTAGCGCTGAGGCTTGAAGAGAATCTGTGAGTGGGGGTCCCTCAGCAGGTGGGGTCTGTTGGCCTGGCCTGTGGGGATCGGCAAAAACCCGCAGTCCCACATCCCCCAAGGCTGTGGTCGGCAAACCGTGGCTTGCGAGCCACATGCGGCGTTTTGGCCCTTTCAGTGTGGCTCTTCCACAAAATACCACACGCGGGCACGCACGTACAGTGTGACTGAAACTTTGTGGCCCATGCGCAGAAGTCGGTATTTTGTGGAAGAGCCACACTCAAGGGGCCAAAGAGCTGCATGTGACTCGCGAGCCGCAGTTTGCTGAGCGGCAGTTTGCCGACCACTGCCCCAAGGGGTCCCGGAGTGCGAGAGGGCAATCTGCAAAGTTGCTGTCTGCCCCCTGGTGGTCAGTGTGCATCATACCTATCGGCAAACTACCCTCTCTACTACCCAGTTTTTAAAATATGTAAATGATGACAATACATACCTCCCTTAGAGCATGGTTGTGAGGATTAAAAGTAAAGCACCTACCATAGTCAGTTGCTTAGCCTTTTACATATATAGATTAGATTTGTACACAATTCATCTTAACAAGTCCAAAAAAAAAACAAATATTTTTCTGACACCACTTGCCAGTTTAGTGATTTGAAGGCTTCCATATTTTTGCTCTAGCATTACAAAACTATTTTTCAACCCATTTCTCTCTCTAGGAAAATACCTAGTTCCCTATCTGATTAAATGAGATTAGGCTTGGGAAAAGTTCCTAGCAAATTGTAAAATGTTGTGAAGAACTAGAGAGGAACTCCTCCATGTCATATGAGGTTCCAAGTCCAAAGTTCCAGATCCCTTTCTTTAGGAAGAGACCCCTGCATCACTGTCCACTCCATATAATCTTACTTTCCAATAAGCCCATGGCCTGTATGAGATCCAGCCTTAATTGGTCCCACATTGGAAACTATGGCTTTTTATTTTCACCAGAATTGTAAATAGATATAAGGTGAATAGGTACAGCTGGGTAAATTTTTGCTTGTTATTTTACTTTGTCAGCACTTCTAAATCATTTATCTTTTGGAGGTATCACAGGTTGTTTTTAAATGCAAAATGTCAAGGTCTGGCCAACATGTGAGGACTCTCCAGAATGTACCTCAGCTCCATGGTGTTTCTGTTGTGGGAATAAAGAAAAATGGTCTTTCCCAGAGAATAGGCTGCTGAGATCTGGAGGTGGCTGCAGCTAATGAAGGGCTAAACTCTAAAACCTGTTTCCATGTCATTTGTCCCGTAGAAAGGAGAATTAATAGGAAACAACTAATATGCTGCTGTTTTTAAGTACATGTCGGACCTGAGAGATGGTAGGACTCAATGGCATACTTGTTTTTAAATTAAATTGAGCATTGAGTTATTAAATAAATACCAGCTACAAATGAATTCATATGAACAATTGGAAATAGTTGTTGAATTCATACACACTCATAATTTCAGATTGTGCTAAGTACAGCAAGCCATACTAATGAAAATTTTTCTTCAACTATTCTGTTATTGAGTTATGTATAAACTACTTATGAATAATATTGTGCTTCTTTCTGACATGTTAATGCTTATTTTATTTCAATATGTGCACAGATGTTAACAGTTTAGAAACTTGAAGGAAGCAAGAGAGACTTCCTACACATATTAGAACAAGTAGTGAAGAGACCAGTGAGCTATTGCATACATTTTATTAGACACATGAGTCTTAGGAACTGCATCCAGAAAATAAAGAAAAAAAGTTTGGCAAGCATTAACTAAGCACCCATTTGGGGAGGTGCTGGAGCATAATAACAAAGCACATATGGATTTGGTGTCCTACAGACCTGAGTTTTGAATTCTGGCCCTACTGGAGTATAACCTTGGGAAATGTATTTAATATTCTAATATATGTTTTCAAATCTAAACCATAGATAATAACAGCATCTACTTCCGCATTTGCTTTGTTTATAAACTTTAAGATGCGTATTTACAAAAACACTGAGTACCGTGTCTGTTGCAAAGCAAGCAGTCAATAGCGGTAGCCATAATGTTCTGCATGATACAAAGGCCCCTGACCTTCCTTTGAGACCCTATGGTGGCACAGGCAGGTGACCTTCCTTTGAGACCCTATGGTGGCCCAAGCAGGTGTGGTTCAGTTGGTTGGAGCATCATCCCATATACAGAAAGGTCAAGGGTTCAATTCCCAGTCAGGGCACACACACAGGTTTTGGATTTGGTCCCATGTCGGGGTGCCTATAGGGGCAGCTAATCAATGTTCCTCTCTCACATTGATGTTCCTCACTCTTCTCTCTATCCTTTCTCTCCTTTCTCTCTCTCTCTTTCTCTCACTCTTTTCTCTCTCTCTCCCTCTTCCTCTCTCTAAAAGAAAAAAAAGGCCCATTATAGTTTACTACTTTATAAAACACTTAATTAATTTATCATATGAAAATAAGTTGGCATCAAATCTAAATGACAAATTAAGATAAAGATCTCATTTAAAAATGTAAAAGTGATTTTCAAAATAAGAATATTTTTTATTAATCTCTGATGTGTTTGGCATTTTAGAGGTGAAAAAACTGTTACCAAAGGACTAGGTTATGTCAAACCCAAAACTGTTTCTATGTTGCTTTAAAAAAAAAAAACAAAAAAAAAAACACCACAAATTGGTTTTGCTGGAAAATATCAAATTGTTTTTGCTGGAAACTAGCCATATTTACAAATGTCCCTTTGTAAATATAGCTATTCCCTTTACCGTGAGACCTGTACCATTGCTGACAAAATCCTGCAATGTGAGAGAGTGCCAGTGCACCTCACTAGAAGAGAAGCTCAACATAAAATGGTGTTTCACCTGCGTCCACGTTCCTTTTGAGCCACCCCTTCCCAATGCCTCGGCTGCTCCATAATGCTAAACTGTAAAGTGGCCCGATGCATAACCAGGCAGTATCTTTAACATCAGGAAAGCTGGCTCATCATCAAGTAACAATAACTCCCAAACTCTTTTATCTGTGTATTTCATTTGTTTTGTGTTCTTATGAATATCACTCATTGTTCCCATAAGAATATTCTAAAATGTGTTTTCAAGAATTTTCTCTATTTGGCAGGTTGGTTACTGGAATGACATGGATAAATTAGTCTTGATCCAAGATGTACCAACTCTTGGCAATGACACAGCAGCTATTGAGAACAGAACAGTGGTTGTAACCACTATTATGGTAAGTTTCGGTCTATGCTTTCTGCTCTTCCGTTTTGTCCACAGGCAACTTTAATTCCCAGCTGTGGTGAACAGGGAGGGTGGAAGCCGTGGTGACATGGGTGCTCCGATCCACAAAAGTCTGATGAGACTTTGAGTAGGTTTGTCCTGAGCTTTGAGTACATTCAGTACTTTTATTTGTATTACCTTCTGTGGCATTGTTGTTCTTAGAAAAATGCTCAAATGTCAAAAATTGAAACTGTCATGCCCTAGTTGGAAATGTGTGAAATGCTAACATTCCAAAAGACAAAAGAATGGACATGAAAAAGATCAGTTACCAATAACCTAAAATATCTGGTAGTAAACACCATATTATTATTGTTATTATATTTTTAAATATCAATGTGATCTTAGTTAATGGTGTTTAAAATTATTATTTCAAGGATTTTAATCATTGGGCAATGATTCACATTGTCTGTTTGTATGGTGTAGAAATGAATGTGAAGATTTTAATGAGCATGTTTACAATTGAATGCTTTAGAAATAAATTTTGTTTTATGTTTATTTTTAATGCAAACGAATTTTTGCACCGATTATTTTTCTCATTGACTAGTGACCAATAACAATATAATGTATAGGACTTCCAGGAATTAAGAAAAATATGACTGCTTCATTCATTCACCTTATAAAATACAAAAATACTCTGAATGTTAAGGCTACTTTTTCAAAGAGATTTTCATGCAGCTACCTTTTAAATAATAGAAATTCTTATATGTTTTTCTCTTCTAAAGTCAAACATGCCCTTTAGAGTCAATGCTAGTCAAAGGAGATCAACAATCGGTGACCTTTTCTATCTAATTTAAATTTACACATCCTCAGCTCACTGTCTTGTTAGGCAGAGCATATTTTTAATTATTTATGGAGCCCTTCCTCTAAATAAAGTGGAAGTATTTTATGTAATTTAGTTTTTAGCTCATGTAATTTTAATTTGAGGTTTCAGTAATGCTGAGTTATTTCCAAAATGTTGACACTGAGGTCAAAGCATAAAAATGCAGAGAGAAGCTTTCATATGTGCAATTAGCTTTATCTGTGTTGCATCACCAGACAGCAATTTAATGTTGATCTGCCAAGTCTTGATGAGAAGTTTATGATTTTAGAATGAAACCAATCAACCACAATCTTTGTGTAAGAGTGCAAAGTATATACCTTCTCACTTAATTGTGTAATATTTGCATGGGACTTGGAAAGCAATGCATATATATTTCTTTTCCTAAAAAAGACACAGTAATGGAAATTCATACTTCAGTACAGTCCTCCTCTTTTCAGCCTCTGATGAAGAATCCTATTTTAAGAAATTGATCGAGAAAGAATTGAGTTCCACGGTGTTCGACTATTCCTAACAAGGCTCAAGTCTTGTTCTCCTGTGTAGTAAATTTAATGTAAATTTTCATATGGGATTCTTCCTGGATGACCAACTCTGGACTACCAGAAAAAAAAATTTTAAGTTCTGTGACTTTTCTGGGAAACAAGAACAAAAGAAGATTTAATCCTCATCTTTCTCAAGAAAATAAATAGATGTTGAAAAAAGAATCACTTAGGATTCTGACATATCAGTTCCAATACCTTGAAATGAGGTCATTGTACGTAAATAATTGAATTATATCGCTCCTAATTCCAAGTAGATTTTCTAAAAGTAAATATCTATGAATTTGTTTGCTTATTTTCTGAATATGCAATGTTTTCTTTAAAGATTTTTTTGAAATTTTGCCTGTTCTGTGTAAAATAAAGTGTTTTAGTGTACATTATAGGTATAGTAATCTGGAGCATCTTCTTTCTATCCCTGTTAATAAAGGGACTGGAGATTTAATTCTTAAAACCAAAATATTGAACTGATTTTGCAAGCATGGCTAGTTTTTCTGGAAGCATGCTATAGAAAAAAGTAAGGAAAATTGATTGAAAAATCCAACTGTTTCCTATATACATAAAGAATACTCTGTAAAATTATCTGTTGTTTGACAGTGATATTATCAATATTTTGCTATCAAAATAGTGCAACACTAGTATCTGTCTTTTGTATAAAGATGTTATCTTCATATACATAACACCTCTGGTCTTTGCAACTACATAATTGTTCACTAATTTAAAAAAAAAAAAAAAAAGCTAATAGCAGAATCCTTTCCCTGAAAGTGTTCCTTGTATTTGCTTTTCTTAAAAATGGTAACCTGGGACCTGTGACATCTCTACCACCTCGTTCCTTTTGGAAAAAAAAAAAGTATGGTTCATTGTAGATGAACGAGATATTGGCATCTGCATGTAATAATCCCCCAAATTCAATTGAGAACTTCCAATATAGATGGAATTGGTTAGACATTGTAATGTATGCAAGACAGATATCTAGACGCAGAAGGCTGAGTGTATGGCACTGGAGATGATTCATTCTGATTGAATTGCTGTGGCATTGCTGTTCTCCCATTTGTCTTTCCTTTGTGTATGTTGTTATTTATTGGTTGCTACAATGTAATGATATATGCTATTGTTAAATAAAATTGATTGATAAATTCATTTATTCATTCCTTCATAAATATTTGTTAAGCGTCTACTCTGTATTAGGCACAGTTAGAAGTCTGGAAATCTGTAAGAGAACAAAATAGACCAAATCCTGGAAAATATATTCCAGTGAGAGAAATCAGACAAGAGACATATAAATGTTACACAGCATTCTTAAATAAAATGTAGCTTTAGTGAGTTGCACTGTTGAACTTTATTTTTTGTGTTGTAGATCTATAATGTGATGTTCATTTTAATGTCTAATTTATTCTACCTGAATAGAGTCTTACTGAATTTAACTTAGCTAAATTTGAACAAAAAAGTAAAACTGTCAATATCATCAAATGAAAATCATGACTACAAAGTTGAAAGGTCTAAGGTTTTGGATTCAGATGTTCATCATTTTTTATCTTCAGTCTTGGTAACTAAAAATGTTATAAAATCTGTAAAACTTATCAGCATCTCACCATACAGAATTAACTTTTTACATTTAAAATAATAATTTCTGCAAACCACCTAAGGCAGCAGTATGTGCCATGTGGCTTGGACGAGTGCAGGACCGAGGGAAGGGCAGCTTGCAGTGGACTCTGGGAAGGAGAGGCTGTTTCCCTGCAGCCTCTCTTCTTTCCCTGGATGCTGAACTCTCTGGAAAAGGGGAAATGACTCAGGGATATTTCAGCCAAACCCAATTTTCCCACAGTCTTTACTAGTGAAGTTAAATGATGCTTATGCTGCATTATTCAACTAAGAAAGTATTTCTTATCATCTTATAAACATGCCAACCCTGTAGGAAATATTCCCATGAATCCAAATGCATTTCCCACAGTGTCAGAATTATGTTACAAACCTAAAAGCTATTTTACTTATCACACTTGATCTTGCTCGAGGTTAAATTTTATATTTCTTAGATGTTTTAGACTCTATCTTGTCTGTGTGCAATTTTGTGGATGCACTCTAAATAGACACATGTGGACATAGTACAACAATCTACAATATGCAGGTGGTGGCAAAAGTAGGTTTACAGTGATGAGTATGCAAAAGTTTATTCTTGTACTATTATTTATTAATTATTGTATAATTTTCCACATGAACAACTGTAAACCTACTTTTTTCCACCCCACATGTAAAGGAAATACAGATATATTTATTTTCTTCCCTGTACCAAATATTAATATCCCCTATACACACACCTACCTCCAAAAGGATTATGTCAATTCATTTTTTAAAGTATTTTAAATAAACTTCAAATTGTGCAGCCATTAAACGTGTTTATTTTTTCTGAATTGAATAACATTTTAATTTCCACTTTTAAAATGTTACCCATGGAGGAAATTATCTACATCTATTAAAATTCTTTGGAGAAAAGCAAATATCCACAAAGCAAATACTGGTAGCATTGGTTGACACTCCTGGTTTTATTAACTGTTACCCATTGTAATTCTAATGATTATATTTGTGATGTTTAGAAAATGTAAAGCTTTTCTAATAGGCATCTATTTCAATAGTTTCACTTTTGCTAAAGACAAATAATCCAAAAAAATTTTCTCCGTAGGAAAATGATACTTCATTGATTGAAAATCATCTCAATTCATTTACACCAACATTTTCTTAACCAAGCCCTAAGGTAACACCTTTAGACAGAGATTGGTCTCTTTCCTGAAATGGCAGAGCAGGTGTAAAATGGAAATTTTAGTATCCGTTATGGAAATTGTAGTAATAAACTCATAATTACTAAGAAGTAATGCTTTTAAAATAACTTCTACGGCACTATTGTCCCACAGGGCACAGTAGTCGATAATAAAGATGGAAGGCTATACTCCTAAAAGGAAGAGGTTATATTCCACTTCTCTGATCATTCCATTTTTATTCACAATTGAACACCTGAAACTCCATGAGGCTGCTTATCAAAGATTCCCCACAAATACCCTTAATGATTCGGTTGTACTCATTTTCTCATTATATTGAAAAGATTTGGTATTAGCAGCCCCAAAACTTTGTATTAAATCCCCCCAAGCATGCAGTGTGTGAAGGCCGTACCTGTGGACAAATTTTCAGATTGAGGCTGGGGCAAGAGCACGTTGAGAGAGTGTTGAGAATCCCTAATCATTTTTAAAAGGAAAAATGAGAACCACTCAAAGCAATTGGGTAGAGCTGAGCGCTTTTGTTTAAGGAAAGCCTAGCCTTTCCCTCCTTTGTTCTCCCACCTCTCTGAGTAAGTTCCTTTTATCTGTCTGGTGCTGCATGTGTCCCTCCCCTGAATCTCAACAACTGTGCGTGCCCTGGATGTGCAAAAGCCTAGCGAAATTCCTAATCAGCATCTTCAGCAAACTGAACGCTTTTTTAGCCTTTATTGGTTTGGTGGACAAGAAACAAAGACATGATGGACCCCTATTGTCTAAAGAAAATGGAGGGAGGGGATTGAAAGAAGACACTAATTAATTTTTAAAGTTATATGTACATACACCTGTTTCAGGAGAGATGCCCTAGCACTTGTTAGCACTGCTTTCCTTTTTAAGGCACCTGAATCAAAGTTCCTGTTACTTTGCGATGATATTCCTATTTAAGAAGCCCAGGTAGACCAGAAAATCTTTATATTTATTGAGTGCCTTATATACACCATACACTATGAGGCAATATGGAGAGCATTGTTTACTCAAGTTTCATATAAAGAATTTCATTCTCTAAAAATACAGAAATTCACTTCTTTAATCTTATCCTTTTTTTTTCTTGTTAAAGCATATGGAATCTCAAAGAGTTGAATATATTGTGACAGATGCAATAATACCTTCAAATATTTTCAGGTATTTCAAATTATAGGTTCAACTCCCACTTCTGCTAGTTCTGTGAAATTGAACAATTTGCTTAACCTCCTTGAGCCTTAATTGTTCCATCTGCAAAATGGAAAATGCCTGCCTCAAAATGTCAGTGTGAAAAGTAAATGAAAGGGCACAATTAAAGAAGTTAGCATTGTACCTAACACAAAGTAAGCACTAAATAATAAGAGCTATTATTTTTTCCAGTACTCTTATTATTGTCCCTCACCACTCTCCTTTACCCTTATTTTAAAGAACTTAACATCAATTAATCATAAGAGGACAAGGGGCATGTTTTATTTATTTTTGTACCCTTAGTTCCCAGCAAACTGCCTGGCATACAGTGGGTGCTTAATAAATGTTTGAGTAAATCAAAGTACAGCTTTTAAGGAAGCAACACTTCACAAAATAATGTAGCAGGAATTTAGCAAATTAGATGGTAATACTAGCTAGAGAAACTTCTGTTAAAATTATATATATATATATAAGATTCCAGACACTTTAGATTTTCAACCTTAGTACCAAAGGTGAGCATTAGCTACACCTTATTTGAAAAGCTATTAGGTTTGTTGTACTAATAGCTCTAGGTGATAGCTGTATACCCATTTCCATTAGAATGTTAAGCATTTTACAATGTGTGCTTCTTGCTTTTTTCTACACATTCTTCCATATTTTAATTAGCTATCATAATAAAAAAGGAGAAAAATGAAAAGATTAGCTCATTTTAACTACTATTTTATAGCATATCTTAGAAATTAATAGTGCTTTGCAACAAATCCCGTTTTCACAACCACATTTATAACTTGTAAAACTTTATATTTAGAGAATGTTTTCTATAAACTAATAATTTCCAGCTACCTAAAGAACAGACAATTAGTTGCCTTAATTTTATAGACCGATAAACTTTCTTTAAAACATTATATTTAGAGATGTTTTCCATAAACTAATAATGTTTATCTATAGAAAGGAAAGGCAATTAGTTGCCTTAATTTTATAAAGCAACTAGAGATGGATAAACTTGTCCTGGCCAGCTTTGCTCAGTGGATAGAGCATCAGCCTGCAGACTTAACGGTCCCAGGTTCAATTTTGGTCCAGGGCACATGCCCGGGTTACTGGCTCAATCCCCAGTGAAGGCGATGGTTCTCTCTCATCATTGATGTTTCTCTCTCTCTCCCTCTCCCTTCCCCTCTGAACTCAGTAAAAATATATTTAAAAAAATAAAGATGGATAAACTTTCAAGTGTTAAAACATTTATCAAATCAAAGGAAACGTAAGAGACTTCCGGGTCACTTAGTCATGTCAACCTAAGGCAGAATTTAAGAAAGTAATACAAGCACCAATCCTGGACAGTGGCCCACAGTAGTGTTCTTCAGGGCATCCCTGTGAGAAACTCAAAGAGCATCTCATTTACATTCTTAATCAAGTTTTTAAAAGTAGCTTCTACACTTACAAAGTACTTAGGAAAGCAATTAGTGTAGAACTGCCATGTTGTGCAAAGTAAATTACACTCTAAGTCACAGTTCCAAGAGCAAGTTAAACTTTCACATTTACAAATTTGCTGAGACAAAAGATTTGTATCAGAATTACTAAATGGATGATACAATGCGATTTTATAAAATTTAAATACATGATCTCAATGATGTGGCCAAGAGTGGTCATTGCTTGTCTGCAAATCACTAAAATTTCTGAGATGTGGCCAGGAGTTCTCTGTGGATTGCACGTTTGCCAGGGCTATCTTTTATTTGGTGGCTTTAGTTTCCATTTATAAAATCAATGCATTTTTGCTAACATGTCTTTTACTTCACGGCCTTTAACGAGTTTGAATTTGGGGTGTGTGTGTGCGCGCGCGCATGCACACATGTGCTTTAACTGAAAACTGTGCAGTTAATATTAGCCACCAGTAAACTTTTTCATTTTATATGTATTTTTAAATAATTCTTCATCGTATTTTCTGTCTTATTTGCTTCAAATTGATAGTCACAACTGGAGAAAAATTGTTGGCTCCCATTGAAGACATGTAATAGAATAGAATAAAAATTCATGGAACAAAATTCTAATTGAATCCAAAATATTGGACAATTTTAAGGAAGCTAATTTGATGCAAATAAGTATATACAGTTTTTTAAACTATTAATTCTTCATTTTTATTTTAACTTGCAAGTGCCTGCTCTGAGAAAGGCATATTGCTACATGCTAGAGAGCAATGGAAAACGATCTAGCTCTTTTCTTAAAGGAGGTCACAGTTGACTGTGTCTAAACAAGATGCGGAATATGGAGACAGGTGACTTTAAATTAGTCTTTTACTACATGAGGCGGACTACTAAATAGTCTTTAACTTCATATAATAATTTGAAACTAATAATTTCATTGCCAAAGGTGATAACTTTGCTTTTCTAGATGATTATTAATGGACATTTTTCCCATCAGAGTTACAGTGCTAGGTATGTAATGATTACTCAATCGAAAATTATTTTAAAGACTTCACATTCAGTATCTAGTGTAAAGAAAGCTATTTAATGTACTTCTAAGCATATTTATTTTTGTATACTTATTTTACTACTGATATCTAGCCACACAAAACCAGTGCGTTTACAATACTAAATATAATACTTTTGTCAAATTCTGAAACTGGAGAGTTACATAGAGATTTTTGAATGTTTATAATTTCTCCTTTACAGTTCTACTTCTCTCATTATAGGAATCCCCATATGTTATGTTCAAGAAAAATCATGAAATGTTTGAAGGAAATGACAAGTATGAAGGATACTGTGTAGACTTGGCATCTGAAATTGCAAAACATATTGGTATCAAGTATAAAATTGCCATTGTCCCTGATGGAAAATATGGAGCAAGGGATGCAGACACAAAAATCTGGAATGGGATGGTAGGAGAACTTGTTTATGGGGTAAGCAAATCAATTGTTTACATAAACCTGAAACTTATTTTTAAATGAGCACATATCAATTTTTAAATGTCTATTACTGTTTTTTATTTTGCAGTTACATTCAAAGAGACATATATGGTGTTCAACTATTTCTCTATTTCATTAATAATGCAATTCCCAAGCAATGAGAGAAACTAATGTTTGATAACTTCAAAATAAGGAAAAAGATAAAAACTCAGAATATGATGTCCTATTTTTATTTTTATTTTATTTTTTTAAATATATTTTATTGAACTTTTACAGAGAGGAAGGGAGAGAGATAGAGAGCCAGAAACATCGATGAGAGAGAAATATCGATCAGCTGCCTCCTGCACATCCCTTACTGGGGACGTGCCCGCAACCCAGGTACATGCCTTTGACCGGAATCAAACCTGGGACCTTTCAGTCCGCAGGCCGATGCTCTATCCACTGAGCCAAACCGATTTCGGCTGATGTCCTATTTTTAAAAAAACAACACTAACCTCAGTATCTGTGATGATTATTCTTTCATGTTTGATTCTTCTATCCCACAGACATGTTATTTTGAGAACTACGAAACAAATCCATTAGTAATTGTAGCAACAGATTTCCTTCAATAGCATAAAGTTGAACCTCATTTTAACTAGTTTATTTATATCCCTATTGGTTGTAATTCTGGTAAATGTTTTTTAAGTAATTGGTGAAGTGATCACTACACTATTTTAACATCTATAAAATATTCACCAATAATGTGAGATTCTTACAATTCTGCTGAACACAGTAAATTTAGCTTTATGCAATGCCACAATTTTTTCACACCTAGCAAAGCACAAAAGCTAGAATTTCTTCCACAGCAGGCCTCACATGAAAGCATGTCATGCCCTTTCTTTTGCGTTCCCCAGGTATTGCGCGTACACATTTATAGCCAAGGGCTAATTCAGTGTACACATTCCTGCCTGAATCAAAACAAGATCGCTCTCTTCAGCTACCACTACAAAAGATTCTAAATTAAACAAGCAGTTATTAAATGCTAGTGATGGTATATTTCCAAAGTCCAGAAACCCAGCCTTGAATAGTACATTTTATTCACCTAATAGTGAATAAAAGTCACATGCACTTGCAATTTCTTCTGAAATTTCCTATAAGCCAATTCACAGATCACAAATGTCACCTTCACGTCACAGTCTGTCTGATTAATCCTCTCAAGGCCCCTTTGAAATGAAGGATTTTATGAAAGTCTTCCTTCCCCGGAAAAGAATAAAGGTAGAATGATTCAGAACATAAATGACGTCGTACACCAGGGCTTGCTTTCCAAGCCAGAACTGCCACCCAAGTTTCATGATTCTGTGTCTTGTTTTTCAAACCATGACGCGATGAACATTCTCCATACAGTCCAGTCCGGTAGCTATCATCTCAGCAGCAAGAGGAAACTGTTTGGCATTAAAAAATAATCAGTTATTTTATATTTATTTGCAAGAACTGCTGACTAGTTAGGTGACCTAAAAGGGGGTGGGGCAGGGAATGAAGTTGTAAAAAATCAAAAAGTATTTTATCCCAAGGCTCATGATCAATTTGATATTGAGCTTTAAATTCCAAAGGAAAAGGGTTCCTAACACTTGTGCTTCTTGGTAATATTTTAGGCTTTAGACAAAATAAGCCAATTTTAAATGTGAACATTATCCAGGTTATTATAATTCTCTACTGTACTTTATTTCCTTCAGAAAACAGTATTGAGTATTTCTCCTCAAAAAAATTAGATTACTGTGCTCACTTCGGCAGCACATACACTAAAATTGGAACGATACAGAGATTAGCATGGCCCCTGTGCAAGGATGACACACAAATTCGTGAAGCGTTCCATATTTTTTTAAAAAAAATTAGATTACCAATTAGTTATGCATGAGTTACTCTCTAAGTCATTTTATATATATCCTCCAGAGTCCCTACCAATTGGGCAGTCCAAGCTCACCTCTTGCAAGGGTTCTGACCACATTTTATTAGGGGGATATTGTTTAAATAATGAAAATAAATTATATGAAGAGAGTAGCACAATTAAAAACAAAATCAGTAGTACACATGTCACAATAATCAAAAGTCTGAAGTCAGGCCATTCTCAGAGAGAAAGATTATAACAGTGATTAATACTCATTATAGTCATTCATTCATCAGCCAATCTGAGAGGATTTAAACATCCCCATCTCTGCCACTTCAGTTATCCACTTTTTCTCAAAAGAAATCTTCTTCCATGCCTCTTACACTTTCTACAGATTTGGTATTTTCCATTCTGGTGTCTGCTAAGTCTGTACTTCTCTCTCTCTCTCTCTCTCTCTCTCTCAACACTTACTAGTACATGAATGCCCAGTTCCCAGGGTTTTAGGTAAAACTCCATCCATTCTCTTCTACCTAACACTATTATTATTATTTCTTTATTCTTTGCTAACTTCGTTACTGTAATTGTTAGAATAGATTACGTGTGAAACACCTGTGATCTCCGCACACCACAGGGCAGTGACTCAAAGGCTCAGAACCTCCCCTACACTGTAAGGTCCTTCCTGCCCATCACACCTGCTCACGTCCATCCTGTGACCTGCGGTGCGCTGCTTCAGGACCTTCTGGTCCCTGCCATACTTGTGTGTATTTTCATCCAAGGGGATATTTCTCAAAGTATGTTCTATAACCTACCATGTGTTAAAATGCTGGTTCATGACTCTCACTCCAGAGGTCCTACTGAATTAAAGTATTACCGAGCTCTTGCAGGAGATAGTTTACACTTAATTTTCGGAATTGCTGAGAGGTAATGGAGCCAGGCACACACAGCACATCCAATGATAGTAGAGGAAAGCCCCAGTGTATCTTCTCTGTTCACTGACCTCTTTCCAAACACCAATTTCAGAATTTGAACGTATCCTCATTGAACATCACTGTCACCACCTTAATCCAATGTTGGTCTTCTTTTGTATCTACTTTTTTAAGCTGGAGACTCTTTTATTTCTCTCCATATTTCTTCCCTTTTAAGGTTTTTCACTCATTAGTGGTAACATATAAATAAAAATTTTCCAAAAGATACTACACAGAACAATGTAGTACGTGAAAGGTGGTGTTTCCAATCAATGAGAGGGTGCATTATTCATTTATTCTTGATAGCTGAACAATTACTAGGAAAATTAACAATTTTGTAACACATCATCACGTAGTATACCAAATAAGTTTTAGAGAGATTATCCTTATAGGTGCTAGATTAAAATATGTATGGTTAAAAAATTAAAAATAGGGCAAGGAGAGGTCAATGGAGGGAAAAGGAGACATATGTAAAACTTTTTAACAATAAAGAATTAAAATAAATAAATAATATGTAATTGAGATTGATCATATGATGTGAGGTTTATTCCAAGTATGAAATCAAAGGCTGAAAACACAAAAAAGGTAATTTTATATGACTTCAACAAAATTTAAAATGTGTGTATTGCAACAAAATACCATGAACTAAGTCAGCAATTTTCAACCAGTGTGCTACAAGAATTTGTAAAGCGTATAATACTGTACCTGACTATTTAGTCAGGGGCACTGACCTCTTTTCCCTTAGATTGTCAAATAAAAAAAAAATGACAACAGCCAACACAATAGCTATCCAGTGTAAATCAATTAAGATTATATCTATTTTTGTTTGTCAGATCAGCAAAAATATAATATATTTTTGGTGTGACACAGAATTTTAGTAATTAGTTTATGTGTGCCATGAGATAAAAAAAAATGGTTGAAAATCATTTATGGAAATGAAACAATTCATGAATACGGAAAATATTTGCAACACAGAGAAAATAAAAGAATATTTTGAATAGATTTAAAAGCACTTAAAATTAGTAAGTAAAAAAAAATGAATACCCCATATGGAAAATATGGACAGATTAAGAAGTACAAGTGACTATTTATTTAATAAAAGCAAATTCAAATTAACACAATGTGATGTAATTTGCCAGCTAGCAAACTAGTGAAGATAAATAGAATAAAGATAGACAATGGTTGTCCACGATTTAAAGCTGCAGGTGCATTCGCACAGTGCTGGGGAAAGTAGAAATTTTGCATAACCTTTTGTGAGAAAAGTTGGGCAAGCATATTATGAGTATTAAAAGATTGTACCCATTTAGACTAGCAATCACATTTTTAGAAGTTTATCTTAAATAATTAAGATATGTGCAAGGACTTGTCTTCAAGGATGTTCACATCATTTGTGTTATAAATTGTATAAAACTGAAAACAATGCAAATATCCCCCAAAATAATAAATTGAGCAAATTGTGATATTTTCACATAATGAAATATTTGCAATCATTAAAACTTATTTTAATGTATATTTTGAAATGACAATGAGTTCATATTCTTTTGAGAAGAGAAAATTAATTATACAATATGATTTTCTGCATTATCCCATTTTAATATAAGAAAGATATTATTTCTAAAACAATGCCTACCCCTAACCGGTTTGGCTCAGTGAATAGAGCATCAGCCTGTGGACTGAAGGGTCCCAGGGTCTATTCCAGTCAAGGGCATGTACCTTGGTTGCAGACACATCCCCAGTGGGGGATGTGCAGGAGGCAGCTGATCGATGTTTCTCTCTCATCGATGTTTCTAACTCTCTATCCCTCTACCTTCCTTTCTGTAAAAAATCAATAAAATATATTAAAATAAAACAATGTCTAACAAGGCATATATAAAGAAAAAATAAAAGTAGGTGAAGGGAATGGAGATATCTTCTCTTCCTTTTCTGGTTTTGTTTTATATACTGTTTCTATAGCTAGTTCCTCTATCACTTGTGTAAAATAACTTGATAAAACAATAACCTCCCAGCAATGACTCTGGCTCTTACATATCCGGGTGTGTATGGTGTGAACTAGGTTCATTCCTACTTGAAGGCATGTGCAGTGAATCCTCAGCCACCCGGGGGTAGCAGGATGGCCAGAGTACACTCCCAGACCAGCCCTCCAGGAGCCCTCTGTCCAGCTGCTGGCCATTGCAGGGGTGAATGTCAGAGTGGCCGCCTCTATGAATAACATGTATGTCCTGGTATGTCTCAGATTCCATTTCAATGCCAAATACTTTCCTTTTAAAATAATAATAATTTTTTTCATTTGTAGATCATGTAACAATTTACAGTATTTTCTTCACACTCTATTTCATGTGATGTTAGAGATGACATGATTTAATGGAAGAAGCACAGGTCAAATCGCAGAGCGGCTGTGATGTGTAAAGCTCACCTGAGTCTCAGTTTCAGCATCTATAAAACAGTGACAAACATAAGCTTGATATGAGGGTGAAATGGGCGGCCATTTAAAATATTTAGTTTCACATCAGACACATGCTCCCTCAATAAACACTCACTGTTATTTTATTAAGGTTTTTTAAATAAACAATCACAGTAATACAATGAGATAAAAGGAGAAAATGGGGGCACTGTTTCCAATTTTTAGAGATATTGGAAAAAGACCCCCATAATAGCTAAAATCAATGAATTAAAATGTAAGCTGGTGTCTTATGATCATAATATCTGAGAATTGAATCCACTGTTTTCCAGTATCTTTTTTTAGAACCCGAAGGTGAAAAATCAAAGTATGTAAATATGAAGAAACAAATGCCAATTTCCAGATTTTTGTGTGTGTGTTTAATTGGAAAATACAGTCAAGCAATGGGTTTCTTCTGTCTTAAAAACACAGATTTTATAGGTTTTTCTCATAATTGGAAGGAATAAAAAAGAAAGGACTATTTAAAAGCTGCATTGCATAATATTAAGGGGTGGCCAAGTAATGAATCCGTGGCAACATTTCAAATGAAACAGAAAAGATTGCAAGATAGCATGCCTGGCCAAGAAATTCAGAAATTCAGCCACATGGAAAGGCTGTCTCCTCCTCTTGCTGTCCTAGATCCTTAAAGACTAATACAATTATCTGAGTAGAAGTTATTTTTGCTTATGTCTACTATTTCTACATTTCTTTCTCTTATCTAATTACTAGCACCAATAAAAATAGTAGTTTGTGCAATTTAAGTGACACATCTATATATATAAAAGCCTAAGCGACCGTTATAACCGAACAACCGGACTACTGGATGACCGGCCGGTAGCTATGGCATGCACTGACCATCAGGGAGCAGACACTCAATGCAGGAGCTGCCCTCTGGTGGTCAGTGTGCTCCCACAGCCAACCTCCCATGGCCAGCCAACTTCCCGCAGTCCCTCCCCCTGCCCGGGCCCTCTTGGCCCCAATCACCAGCCAGGCCGAGGGTCCCCACCTGTGCACAAATTCATGTACCGGGCCTCTAGTTATCTTATGAAAGAAAACAAGTCAACTGTTCACCTTTGCATTTGTCATTGTTGGCATTGGGAAAAGAAATTGTATAGCTAATGTGTAACTGGTTAGCTGTGAGTGGATCAATCCAGTGCTAATTGCTTCACAAAGAGCATTAACCTATGTGTTTCCATGTGTCTTTTCTCTTATAGAAAGCAGAGATTGCTATTGCCCCTCTGACAATCACTTTGGTCCGAGAGGAGGTCATTGACTTCTCTAAGCCCTTCATGAGTCTGGGCATATCTATCATGATCAAAAAGCCTCAGAAATCTAAACCAGGAGTGTTCTCCTTCTTGGATCCTCTGGCCTATGAGATCTGGATGTGCATAGTCTTTGCCTACATTGGTGTCAGCGTGGTCTTGTTCCTAGTTAGTAGGTTTAGTCCATATGAATGGCACACAGAAGAGCCAGAGGATGGAAAGGAAGGACCCAGCGACCAACCTCCCAATGAGTTTGGCATCTTTAACAGCCTCTGGTTCTCCCTGGGTGCTTTTATGCAGCAAGGATGTGACATTTCACCCAGGTTAGTCTCAACAGTTTCTCACCAATTCCCCAGTATTGCTAAGTGTTGTACAAATCATCTCTTTACATGTTTTCCCCCTGAAGGCAGAGCATTACTTGAAACAGAGAAAAAAATGTTGCAATTTCCAAATTAATTTGAACATAGTCATAGCCAAATTTTCCAAGATAGCATAATATATAAATACATCACAATGGAAATTTTACATATGCAACTCACCAGAATTCTCAAAAAATAACTTAGTATTAATATTTCCTTCAATGGTTTGACAGACAGAAACTAAAATCTAAATTGTAAAAATGGGATTCGTGTTCTTTTTGTCTCCTTTTCAAAATAAAATATTTTTGTTACTGTTGCTGGTCTTAATTTTTAAAAATTAATTTTGAATTTTATTTACATCCCATGTATCTGAAGGGAGATTTCTGTCATGGCATTTTCTAAATCCTGAGATAATATAATAGGTACTAGATATGCATTGTTCTGTATGACAACATATGACAAGCTAAGCAGTAGGCAGAGTCAGCAATGCAAATACTATGGTAGCTTTATAGAGGTGTTTTTCACTATCTGTGGAGTCATAGCTCACTTTTTTTGGATGCCACTGAGATGTTTTTCATTTCTGTTTGCCAAAGATGCAGCCAATCTCCTGTGCATAAACAAGTACCAATTTTGCCCTTAGAAAAAGTAGCTGAAGGCAGGAAAAAACTGAAAATTAAATTTAAATAGTGACTTATATCAGTGTTACAAGTACATGGATTTTTTTTTTAAAGAAATGTATGCATTCTCAAAAAGAGACAATTTAGCCACAGAACAGTTTGTGTTCCTGAAGACCCAAGGAAATGGACCTGGAGAGCATTCTGCTAAGTGAAATAAGCCAGTCAGAGAAAGATAAATATCACATGATCTCACTCATTTGTGGAATATAATGACCAACATAAACTGATGAACAAAAATAGATCCAGAGACATAGAAGCATAGAACAGACTGTCACACCTCAGAGGGAAGGCAGGGGAAGGGAAGAGAGAGGTAAGAGATGAACCAAAGGACTTGTATACACACATATAAGCATAACCAATGGACACAGACAGTAGGGGGGCGAGAGCATGTGGGGGAGGGAGGGAGCTGCCAGGGAGAGGTCAATAGCAAAAAAAGGAGACATATATAATACTTTCAATAATAAAGAATTGTTTTTGAAAAGGCCCAGGGAAGCTGTAAATGTACTTAAATTCTAACATGGAAATATAAATCCTTAACTCTCAATCGATGAAATGAAGAAATCAAAGTAAATGGAGTAATGGTTTCAAAACTAGTCTTAAGCAAATACTAAGTTAAAATCAACAAGTGCCATTTATCTGATAGGTTAAGAAGAGAGCATTTTAAAGCTAGAAATACCATGGAAAACATGAAATGTGTCCTCACATTTTAAAAAAAATGTTTACAATTTTTTACAGGAATTTAAAATAGTTTGATGGTCCCAATGAGTGAGATCAATTATAAATATGCCCTTTATTTTTTATTGATTCTATTCTCACTTTTCCTCTGCACTCACACTCACCCACATATCCCCGATAGCCAGAGAAAGGGTGAGGAGGAAACTTTTTTTTAGATTTAGCATCAGTTTTTAATGTTGTTGCTACACACTAACAAAGCACCCACTTTGGTCTCATGTTGGCAGGGACAAAGAGAACATTTTTATGCCAGTATGTAAAGACGCTTCAGGACATAACACTCATTCACTCTGATAAGAACTGAGCTAGCAACAAATCCTGAAATGTAATCAGTTTGAGACCAATCCTAGATCTTCATCTGGTCCACCCCACCTTGGCATATGTCTCATCCTTCCTGCCAGAGCTCTGACTTAAGGTGAAAACCAGTTCTCTCAGAATGTCTTCTACCAACTTAAATCTAAGACCTCACCCACTTTTAATAGGTATTGCTACTTTATGTGCCACCAAGAGAAAAACAATGCTGCCAATTAAGCCATGATTCTGTGTTTTATCTCAGTATAATGTAGGTTGCATCTAATATCAAATATGCTAAATATTAAGGGGGTAATCAATGAATTAGTAAGTATTTCTCTTTTGTACTTAAAGGAAAGGTATTAAGTTCCATAGTTCTGTCTAATAACAATAAAAAGAAAAAAGTTCCCATATTCTCAGGGGCATTTATACATTTCATATAGCATAGGCAACATCAAAGCATACAGAAATACTAGAATCATTCTTGAGTAGATTATCAGAAAATAAAATGATATTGCAGTTGTTATTTTTAAACCACATGGAAAATTGATGGTATTTCTTTTCTTTCTCTCTGTTGGTTGGAGAAAGGAAAATGCGCATTATCTTATCCATGTTTAGATCCCTCTCAGGTCGAATTGTTGGAGGTGTTTGGTGGTTCTTTACACTCATCATTATATCGTCTTACACTGCTAACCTCGCTGCTTTCCTGACGGTGGAGCGCATGGTCTCCCCCATAGAAAGTGCGGAAGATCTGGCCAAACAAACAGAAATTGCCTACGGAACACTGGATTCAGGGTCAACAAAAGAATTCTTCCGAGTAAGTTCAAGGAACAACTAATGATGAAATGTTCATAATTTTTAAATTCAGGCAATTTTGCCAACAAGGATATTGTGGGCTCTAGCCACTGTAGGTTTTGCAAACGCAGTGATAACAGCCATGTTTAATGCTAATACTTCCATGTGGATTCTATAACCATTTTAACTTTCAAATACTAATTGATTTATTTGCATTGCAAGAGGGACCCTCTCTAAGCAAGAGTAACATCAAAAAGGTAATTACAACTTTATAACATAATCTATCTCAAAGATTCCAGGGCTGATCATGCCATGATACTGCATCTGGCAAGCTTGTATTTATGTGTGCGTGCTTGGGGGATAAGAGCATAAAAATGAAAACAAGAGTGTTGGTTTTTTTGTGTGTTTTGTTTATGTTTTTGTTTTTTAAGTAATACATTTAACTTTCTGCATTTGAAACCCAAAACCTTGATTGCAGGTAATCTTCCTACATGAGGCACATTATTCTACAATCTCTTTTGTAGTGACAATTTCAGATAATGGTAGCAAAAACTATTAAGTTTTGGACATCTCTGTGAGACGTTGTATGGAATTTTGTTTGTACTAATTCCTCTGCTTTTGCAGATAAAGTTGTTCAAAGTGAAATAATTGCATTTACATATGAATATGACCCCTTTGGCTTGTCATTAGGATGGTAGGTACATTTGTTGTTTTTGTTTTTATAGTTGCTTGCTTCATGAGGATGAATTTTTTTTTCTTTTTTTATCAGTGAACCTTTTTTACTCTGATTCTACTTAAATCCAGAGATACAGGATTGGTAATGTCTGATCAGAGTTCAGGGTTCATTCTGTGACTTCAGAACTAAAGTATATAACTACATAATAATGAAGGCATGTTGTTTTACTTTCAATTGCTTAAAGAAGACAAGATATATTTGACTTATTTCTTAAGCTTTTGTGGAAAAATGAAAGCCCTTTAAAGAAAGTGTCATGCTTATATACAGTTGTTGAGAGATTACTCTTTTATTTTTAATGCATATATTTTTGTTTTCTCATTCAACTTGGGAATTAAATACAACCAAATGTTCTACTCCTTAAGAAAGGCTTAACTTTCATGTACCTGAATTTCAGTAAGCTATTTCTCTTTTTATTTATTTATTTTATTTCATTTTTTTAATCCTCACCGGAGGATATTTTTTTCCATTGATTTTTACAGAGTGGGAGGGAGAGGGAGAGACAGAGAGAAACACCAATGTGAGAGAGACACATTGATTGATTGCCTCCTGAATGGGCTGGGAGCCTGCAATGGAGGTATGTGTCCTAGACAGGAAATGAACCTGGGACCCTTCAGTCTTCAGGCTGGTGCTCTATCCACTGAGCCAAACTGGCTAGGGCTATTTTTCTTTTTAAAAATGATTTGATTATGTCCAGCCAATGTGCCCCAATGGTTGAGCATTGACCTATGACCCAGGAGGTCATGGTTTGATTCCAAGTCAGGGCACATGCCTGAGTTGTGGGCTGGGTTCCCAGTAGGGGTGTGCAGGAGGCAGCCAATCGATGATTCTCTCTCATTATTAATGTTTCTATCTCTCCCTCTTCCTTCCTCTCTAAAATCAATAAAAAAATATTTTAAAAATAAAATAAAATAAATAAAAATTATTTGATTATAGTATCCTGATATATTACAGATATTTACATTAATACTAAATCAAAATAAATCACTCAAAAACTCAGTCAAACCCATCTCTGGGCATTGTTTAATAAAGACACCACACACAGAGTAACATCCTTGTCATCAATGTGGAATGTTGCTAGTAGAGATAATATAAAATTTATAAGTTAATTAAAAAGTAGTACTGGATTTTTCTAAAATTATAAATAATATTCATGACAATAAATATTATTAACAATTGTTTAATTACTGAGTATATTCCAGTCTATAAAGTTTAATAATGGGAACATATTTTAGCACAATCTCTGTAAGTTTATAACTGCTTCCACCCAAAGTAGGTAGGTAAAATTTAGTAACTTTGCCTAGAAACCATTATCTATATTTATCAAAACAGAATACAAGTTTGTGCTATAACTTGCATTTTACTGGGAAAATTATGGCTGATATTTATGTAAATAAAGCAAATATTTGCAAATTCGTCATTCTGTTTAGAGTGATAAGGGAGAAAGAAACATCACGTTGATTCCTTGAAAACATTTCAAAAATAACTCACTGTAAAGATCTGAACGTGTTTATTTCTGATTTTTATAGAGCTTTAAAAAGCTGCTCAAGTTCTACAACCTGGTGAGGTAGATAACAGAGTATATTGATAAGAAATAAAGGACTAAGACTCGTTGGTCCCCAGGCTGCACTGCCTTTCATACAAGCTGTGCACGCACCAAACCCCATGACCTTCCTCTCCCACCCAACTTCAGTTTTTAAATTGAAAGAGTTTTATAAGTGAAGGTATTTATTGTTGCAGAACTGTCTAAAGCTAATGGGACAAGGATATAATTTTCCTTCGCGACACACTTTCAGGAATGCATAAATTTGGGCTCTGATAAAAATCTCATTCGTTTCCTTCCCTGTGTTCTCCCTCCTTTCCCGTGGAGGATGACCTGTGTTTTAAAGGCCATTTGTCTAACAGGTGGAGGAAACAGGATGTGAAGGGTATTTTTGTGCTTGTCAAAATGTTTTCTCATAGGAACACAGAAATGGTACATCTATCAGCTCCACTCCACTGCCTCAGGCGCTGACCTGTACTCTGCGCTTCAAAAATGTCACAGTTATAACCAACTGCGAAAAGAATAAGCCCACGGGGGGAAATTACATTGGAATTCAACTTTTGCCTTGTTTTGTCCCATTATGAAACTTACATGATCATGTTCAGGGCACCCTTGTTAAGCATAAGCATGGAGGTATTTAAAGAAAGTCTGTTACTTGACAATGACAGCCTTGCTGTTTAGGTATTTTTACATCATTATAAGCCTTATTTGAACACACTTTCATTTCCATGAAAATTTTACCCTGTGCCTATTTCAGTTATCAGCGAAATCATGAATGCATAAATGAGGTGGATTACTGCCTCACAGCTGATCATATTATTAAACTAGAGGCACAAAAATTTGTGCACTTGGAGGGGTCCCTCAGCCCAGTCTGTGCCCTCTCGCAGTCTGGGGCTGTCCACCTGCTGGCTTAGGCCTGCTCTCCGGGGGATTGGGCCTAAGATGGCAATCAGACATCCCTCTGGCAGCCCGGCAGCCCTCGGGGGATGTCCACTTGCCAGCGGGGAGCCGGCCTAAGCTGCAGTCGGACATCCTTAGCGCTGGTGAGGAGGCGGGAGAGGCTGCTGTGAAAACCACTGTGCTGTCAGCCCTCAGCCGGG